TGTTTTCAGGATATCATCTCTGTTTTCAGGATATCATCTATGTTTTCAGCATATCATCTCTGTTTTCAGGATATCATCTATGTTTTCAGGATATCATCTCTAGAATTGGCCGAAGTGGGAGTAAGGGTTAACAGTGTTAACCCAGGGGTGGTATATACTGAGATTTTTGACAACTTAGGTAATTTTTTATTCCAGTTTATATAGTATGTTAACAGAGCTGAAAACTTTAGAATGGGATATCCTTAATCCTGATTTGTTAATTAATCCAGAGATTAATAACATGAGGAGAACAAGCAATATTTAATCTAGAGATTAAGAAAAAGATGAGATCAAGCTTTGATCTCGGTATTCACCATTCAAAAGTTTTCAGCTTTGATAGACTCTAAAAAAACTCACTTGCTTATAGCAAGCCAAATCATAATTTTAACCCTAATTTTACAGGCATGAGTGCCACTGAGATGGAAGAATTTTTGAAGAAAGGTTGCGACATGCATCCAATGGGACGTCTTGGGACCATTGAAGAGGTAAGTTCTATAACTGTAAAAAACAGTTTTGAATTATTTTAAAATTCTTTTTATGTATAAGCAATAAGATGTTGAGTGTATACTCGTTTCTTTGTTTCTTTATACAGTATATAAATCTATATATATTGTTCAAAGAATTGTAGCTACTGAGGATCGTCATGATAGACGTGAAACATTATGTTTAGTATAATCACTGTTTTATCTCCTAGGTTGCAAACGCAATAATCTTCCTGGCTTCAAGTCTATCCTCATTTACCACAGGTATTTAATGCATTCACGCTTAAAGACATTGTTCAATTTTTTAGTTGAATTGACGTAACAAAGTTTTATATTAAATTTTGCCATTTTAAAATGATTTGGCAAAGAATCAAATATGCAAATGTTAACAAACGGAAGGGACCTGGACTTATAGGAAGTTTCCAAAAAAAGGAATTTTTCTGCTCATATTATTTGTAATTTCGATGTAAAATGTAAAAAAGACCGTTTTTTTGTCAATGTTGACACCTTCTGTTCACTTTTCCTCTGGCCGGATCAAAGTATACATACCCTTAAATGTATAATTCCAAGGGGGAGGAGGGGGGGCAAGGGGTGAAATATTTCAATGATTCTTCACCCACTTAACCGCCCCTGAGTTTTAAAGGGACTGTTCAAATTTTCCAAGATACTCAACAAATACTAAAATTTTTCTTTCCAGTTTCCATAGCTCCGCTTTTTATAGGATAAGTCAATTTCCTGCTCAGGCCCAAGGGGTGAGCGGGAGCCATTGCCCCAAGGCTCACCCTCTGTATTTGCCCCAGGTGGTACTTTGTGTCAGTCTGTGACCCAGAATTTGAAAAATAGAATCCTCTTTTCAATTAAAATCCCATAAATTCCAAACCATTGTTAGAATAAAATGGTTACAATTATTTTTGCAATGGTAGGGCCTTGGATTTTAGATCACTAACTCACGTATACATTTCTGTAGCCATACACATATAAACTAAAAAAATTCAATGGGCTTGTTTTGAGCTTAAATTTTAAAGGAGTAATTAGCAAAGCACTGCTGGACTTTTCTTTGGTTTGAGGTGAGACGAATTACCAAAATTCTCGAACAATTTTTTACCTTACATATAAAAAAAATGGTCGAAATTTTAAATTAATGTATATATTCTAGGCCAGCTGCTGTATGTTGATGGAGGTTTTCACAATACCACCAGCACCAAGTCCTGGCATTTCTAATCTGGAACCTTAAATGGACTGTAGATGTAAACTTATAAGTTATAAATGCTATTTGCAGCTTAAAAGTTTAGTACGATCGTGGGTCGTTTTTAAAAACAATCGCTTTTTCCTGAAAACGAAAAGATCGTTTTTGAAAACGATTGAAAACAAACAAAAAATGATCGTTTAACGATCGTTTTCAAAAACGATTAGAAACTCTATTTACAGCGGTATACCCTTTTAACATTTGTCTAAACTATAGTTTGATTAATTATAAGGTTGAAATTGAAAGAAATATACTTATTATTAGTTGGATATCTATTATTTGCAACTGCATGTGGTTTGCTGAAAATAGTGACTTTTGGATTTGTGCTGCAGTGACGCGATCCGAAAGTTGACAGAATAAAACACTTTTCTTGAGATAACTATCTTACATATCTATAAAAGATAACTTATTTTTACGAAGGGAGATTTATAATTTAATTAAGTTACCGCTGTGAATTAGACATGGCTGCACTACAGTTCTATAAAAACAAGAGCAGCAAACGTGCAGTACATTTTTAATCATTTTAAGCATAATTATTGTTTCATGTTTCATTTATTTTCTAAGCTCATAACATTATATTTAAAATGAATTTTATGATTGTAATAAAAAATCTAGATATCTACATTTTATATTGTAAAAAAAAACGTGGATTTATGTTTATTTTTGAATATATGATGATTAATCCAATTAATTTATTTACTTTTTATAAAAAAAATTATAACAAGGCCTATTACTAACACTGTAAGTTAGAAATGGGCACAAATTGAAAGACTGGGTTTTTGGGATCCCAGCCCTTATCCAGAGTNCAATTAATTTATTTACTTTTTATAAAAAAAATTATAACAAGGCCTATTACTAACACTGTAAGTTAGAAATGGGCACAAATTGAAAGACTGGGTTTTGGGATCCCAGCCCTTATCCAGAGTAAAAGTCGAGTAAAAACTATAAATAGCATTTTATTAAACATGACGAGGACAACAATTCCCGATTTTAATTTTTTTTAAATCAAAATTATAAGAGGAGTTCTTTTTATATGTAATCTCTTGACCGTTTTCAAGAAAATGTCAGGTTTTCCATTTTCAAACATATCCTGAATTTGAAGCATTGTCACGTTTTCGAGTCAAAACCTACTTTCCCGTTTTTGAGATTCACAATTCAAAACAAAACTCACTTTCATAACTTACAAAATAAATCACTGAATACAAAAATTAACATATGAAGACTAAATTAACTGCTGAATTATTTCTTAAATCTAAGTTTCCATATTTTATCTGTTATATTAGAGAATATCGATTATTTATTTTCAAACATTTCAAACAAACAGTTTCCCGCATTTCTAGTTAAATCTATATCGTGAGAACAAATGAAATTAATTTTTTGATTTCTAAATGCTGTATTTGTTTTTTAATTATAAAAGAACATTTTTTTATTTGCTATTTTTTATATTTTACCTTATCAGAATTCTTGATTTGTTATAAAAGTGTGTATAAATGCTTGAAAATTGACATTGATATGACTTCCGGTAATTGTCTCAAAACTAGGGTTTCCAATCGGAATTCCGTTGCGCGCAATGGTTGCTTCCTCTTGTGCTATTTTATTGCGAGGAATTGCGAAAAAGGAAGCAATTAAATATTCGCAGAATTGTGTGGAATTGCGTGGTATTGCGCAGAATTGCTTGCATCGAAATTGCTTTTCTATCTAAAAATCAATAATTTTAACTGACTTACAAATTTATGCAGCAGATATAAGAATGAACTTAAATATCTATGTTGATTTTAAAATAATCAAGGCCCAAGGGTCACTTAAGTTTCAACAGTTTTCAAATTTTAAAGTTTCTTGTGGTTAAGCTACTAATTAACAATTTAATATGATACATTTTTCATTTGTTCACATTGGATAAACATTCAAATGGAAACTTTTCTTGGTTAAAATTGTAAGGTTTGTTTAATCAAAATTAGATATTTTGTTACAACGAGAACCAGAAAACTATGGTACAGAAAGACAACATCACAGTGTATTTGATGTAGTTACAAGTCAAACAAAATTAATTATTAAATTATTAAATCCCTTATCCAATTACATGGGTCTGCTTGAGTCTAAACTGTCGTCTTCCTTTTCCGGAGTTTTCTGGGTATCATGCTGCAAATGAATATTATAAAACTAAAGATTAAGTTTAAATTCAATTTTCTTAGCATTTGAGACTGAAATGTCAGTAAAGTTCAGTTTATTGTATGCCACTACCATGGTTTTAATTTGATTTTTTTTTTTTTAAAAGGAATTGCGCAATAATTAATTCCATTTATTTGTCATATAAGGTTTAAATTAAATTTTATTAGAAAATTGAAGCACAAACGCAAGAACTTTGGGCGGAATTGCGCGCAATTTCGTTGCGTTTATTTGCCAGCAATTATTACGGAATTGCGTGCAATTAAATTCACTTACACGCAAGGGCTCGCAATTGCTACAGAAAACCATGATATATTCCGAAACGCGACATGTCGAGCTGAAGCATAGTTTTAGAGTGATCCCAAATTGAGCGCCAATTCGAAGTTCGAGCCCTGTATATATATGTTATTCGAGTATTATGTCATTGTCACTGTGCGTTTTTTGGTATTGTAAATTCTTGGAAATAATCCAACAATGGGATGCTCTGTATAAATTCAATATATGATGGGACTCAAGTCATATGGGACGCTTATACTGTATTAAACGTGTTCTAAACTTTATTGTAAATTTAAAGAAATGAAGTTATGAAAATAAAATTATAAAGGATATTTTCATAATTTACCCCATCAACATTTGTTGTTAACTTTTTTATCCGTCTAACTTGAATTAATTCTAAAAAACGAAAATTAATTATAAATTTAGAATTGTTTATTTAAAATGACTGATTTTCATTCTCCACTGAATGATTAAATATCTGTTTTTGGGACTACAGATAACAGACTACAGTTCTTTTAAAGGGTTATCTAAAAAGTTATCCACTGGAATGATAGTTCAATTGATATTTAATTGATACGGCACCCATTGGTTTCCCTAGATCAATTAATCATCAAGAATTTTCGTGAACACTGTGCGGCAATTCCGCACCCAGATCTGTTCTGATGACGAAATATTTTTTTTTGAAGTAAAGCTAATTTTTTAATTTTATTGCCTCTAAATGTTTTATCGAAGCTGTTAATAAACGATTTCAAACGGACATAGAAACGGTGACATCAAAATTATATAAACATGCTATACTTCAATTTTTTAAACATCCAAAGAAATTTAAATATACTATTTTTTATCAAATATGAGTGTTACGTTTGCACCATAATTTATGAACAATTTTCCCTTTTATTTTTTATTAAATTTGGTAATTTCCTTTGTACGATTTTTGTACCCTTCTCAATTTTCTTGACATTAATGCTGTCATATATTACAGAAAACATGATTTTCAAGACAGCTCAAGCTAACTTCTTTCTACTTGCAGTACACGTCCTACTATTTGCAGTACACTGCGTGAACGCAACAGAACTGCAAATCCCTCAAAAGTTCAGTGAATCCGTTCACACTAACAACTGGGCGGTATTAGTCGATACGTCCAGGTTCTGGTTCAATTATCGACATGTCGCTAACGTACTGTCGGTGTATAGAAGTGTGAAACGCCTTGGTATTCCCGACAGTCAAATTATTCTCATGATCGCGGATGATATGGCGTGTAATCCACGAAATCCTCGTCCCGCTACTGTCTTCAACAATGCCAATCAAAACATTGAAGTTTACGGAAATGACGTGGAAGTAGACTATCGCGGGTATGAAGTGACGGTGGAGAATTTCGTCCGTCTTTTGACCGGAAGATTGCCTGAGAACACACCAAGATCAAAACGTCTGCTAACCGACGAAGGATCTAACATACTAGTTTATATGACCGGTCACGGTGGTGATGGATTTCTAAAATTCCAAGATTCTGAAGAAATCACAAATATCGAGTTGGCTGACGCTTTCCAGCAGATGTGGACGAAACGGCGGTATAACGAAATATTCTTTATGATTGATACCTGTCAGGCCGCCTCTATGTTTTTAAAGTTTTACAGTCCTGGAATATTATCTGTAGCAAGCAGTCTAGTGGGAGAGGATTCTTTATCTCATCATGTAGATCCTAGCATAGGTCAGGAGATCATATTATTCATTTTAACAACTTATTTTTCATTTAAAGTGTCTTTAAACTATATTTTAAAATGATCTTCCATTAATGGATTTACAACGATAATCTTAAAAGTTTTGTCTGGTTAAAGTGACAGTTAGCGTTATTTCAAGTGACATCCCATGCAGATGGCATTGTCCAATTTACAACGGTACCCTTGTTTTTTTGGCGAGTTTCTCCATTGCTTTTAAAGGCAAGATTTGCGCTGATCATTTTCGCAGAAAATCCATAAATAAAAATCAGCAGTCCATAGAAACCAAAACGTTAATAACTAAATTCATAAATAAAAATCAGCAGTCCATAGAAACCAAAACGTTAATAACTAAATTCATAAATAAAAATCAGCAGTCCATAGAAACCAAAACGTTAATAACTAAATTCATAAATAAAAATCAGCAGTCCATAGAAACCAAAACGTTAATAACTAAATTCATACGTTATCAGACAGAGCTTTTAAGGGTACCATTGTCAATCCGGCATTGCCAGTTTTACATGAAACGTCGTTCTAAATCACGCTTGTGGTCCCTTTAAGGATGAATTATTATATAAAAGTCATGTTTTTCACTTTGAGATCTGATTAATTACAATGTTGGGGTTTACAAATGTGACTTGCACATTTCTACTGCAGGAAAACAATGTAGGAATTAGATAAAGGTTTAAAGGGTAACGTGGTGAACTATATTTATATGAAGGTCACGTGAAATTACTACGTTTGTCCCTTTAAGGAATTTTACAATTAAGTATTGTTCTCCTTTTCAAAATTAGTTATTTATTTTATTCTGATTGATTGAATGAACTATACGATCTTTCTGTTTTAGGAGTTTATATCATTGATCGATATACTTACTACGCGCTTGAGTTTCTTGAGCGCGTTCAACCCAACTCTCAGCGCACTATGGGGGAGTTTATGGAGGTGTGCCCGAAGCGCGTATGTATCTCTACAGTTGGCCGCCGAACCGACCTGTTCGGCCGAGATCCGTACAAGGTCCGAATCACGGATTTTTTCGGATCGGTCAGACCAGTGGATTTATCAAATAATCCAGCCAATATGAATGCATCTTTAGAATTACCCGAGGAAGCGACGAAGAAATCCGCAAAAAGTGACAAATTCTATTTCGACGATTTGTTCCCAGTGGACAGCCTGGTAAAACAGAAGTGATTCTGTATTCTTCAATAAGCTTAGATGCAGTTAGAGTTAATGTTGTTCATTCAGAAGAGAAATCAATTAATCAACAATTTGGTTTGACATTCTTATTTAAAAAGAAGTGCATTTATTGATAATTTTTATTATTATTATCAAAATTCTCAAATCTTAAGGCTTTTTATTATGAGGATNACTTTATATGATCTCCTTAACTAATAAAAATTCAAATTTGCTTGTTCTAATTTTTAAATGGGACTGCCATTGTAATTAAAGTGACTCTAGATTTAAATTTAAACTCACAACTGTACTCTTTTAACATGAATCCACACAGTTATGAGGAAGATATTGTCGTTTTTCTAGTTAAAAAGTGTTTTATTCGAACCATTTCCTCCTATGTTTCTCAAGAAAGAAACCCGAAACTCGCTAGAGAAACCGCGATAAAAATAATCATACAAAAATGTAAAAGGTTCCGTTTTGTAACGAACGCTCTCATCTGCAAATGTAGGGTCACCTGTAATTACGTCTAGAGTCCCATTATGTCTTATTATTGTTATTTTATTGTATTGTATTTCAGATTTGTTTAATGATGAGCCGGGATGGGTGTATATGATCAAATTATTGCATTCATCACAATTATATTCTCCTTCGCGGTTGTTATTCTTCTGATCGCCTTCAGTTGGTGGTTTATATACAAGGTAGGAGATGCTTATAGGATCCGGGTCCTTTGGATCCGCAATATCTTGGCTTCCGGGATCCAAAATCAACCAAAAACTGCAAAAAAAGAAAGTATCAAAAATTTGAAAATTCCTATTCTGTCAAAAAAATCAGTAAATCTCAAATGACTTGGATCCGGATCCATTTTTTCAAGTGCGGATTCAGGATCCGGATCCGCATCAAAATTAAATGGATCCTAAGCATTGCTTCAACTAATTATTTCCCCCAAAGTCTCTCTTCCTCTTAACTAAAAAATTATTTTCCTAAAAAAATGATAGGAAGTTCTGCGCGAAGCACCATTTTAAAATCAATTTAGATTATTTGTGAAAATAATTTTTTTTTGATTAAGTATTAAAAGATTCTATTTTAAATTTTTGTGGAAAATATGAATATTTATATATATATATTTCAGTTTTTAACTTCACATTTTTTAATAAAAAAAAAATTATACTGAACAAAATGTTTCATGTCTATCATGACGATCCTCAGTAGTTACCATATATATATATATATATATATATATATACATACATATACCCTTTAATATAATTTTAAATCAAGGTTTTAAGTACATTTTCTTCATAGTTTGTGGAGCTGTCAGAGCACAATTATTGTTTTTGTAATTTTTGAATTCGTCGAAATAAAATATGTATTATATTATATTTCGACGAATTCAAAATATGTAAAATATGTAGGGTTTATTTACAAGGTTTAAATCTGGTTTATCTGGATCATGTTTCAATTTTTAGTTCGAATTAGAGACAATCAAGGGTTGCTAATTAAAGTATTATCAAATATTTCAAGGGACTGTAAGCGTATTTTAAAGTAACCCTCCATTCAACGATAGCAAGGCTTGATTCACAACGGTCTCCTTGAAACATTAATCTGGAAGATATAAAAAAACAAAAACATGCATATTTGATCATTCAAAGCTTTTAATGTACCTTTGTAAATCGGGCATTGTCATCTTTGCATGGAAGGTCTCTTATTATTACGCTAACAGTCCCTTTAATTCTAAGACGCAATATTTCAAATACATATTTATTTTAGGTTTTCTTGTCTCGGTTTGAATTTATCAACGAAATATTCTTCCCTGAAGCAGAGAAGGAAGGAGGGGAGAAGAGAAGAACTGGGGCAAGGAAGAAAATAAGAAAAGAATAAGGTACGACAGGGGTAAATATTTTCTTTAATAAATCGCCCCCTGCCCAAAAAACCTTTCTTCGCGAAGAGAATACAATGTTGTCCAAAAGGAATGAGATTTCAAAGACGACTGTACGGAATATATACTGTCTGTTTCCTTACATACATGATTCCCTTCAACTTCAAAATTTGTCTTTTTTGTCCAATGCTCAATCATCTTACAGTAAAGACCGAGGACTTAATTATGCCATGGGATTGTCATATTTGAAGAGTTTCTTGTCGTCTTCTCAGTCTCATTCTTTGTGGGTAACCCTGTAAATGTAATGTTATGAGATCAATATAAGGGAGTAAAAAAGTTTTGATATAAAAACCAATTTTTGTTAAATACTGATGTTTTCTTTAAATAAGTGAAAGTGAGTTTTGTGGCTTAAAAAACCCGAATTTGGTTAAATGGGTCCTTTTCTAAAATACGACCCTGTTCAAGATGAGTGAGCCTGGTAAGCCAGGTGTTCCTGTGGAGCCTATCGCTCAAGGGAACTATGATAGAGCTTGGAACGATCCACCACTCTTTAGGTAAATGAAACTTCAATAGCACCAACATTTAAAGGGTTTGTATTATAAAAATAATGTATGTACTTAATTTCTTTATCTTAATTTTTTTAAGTCAACTTTTCAGGGAAAATAAATATTTTTTTTACTGCCGCATTTTATTTGTTGATCAAAAAAAAAAGTAAAGAAAGCTTCAATAAATATTTTCTTAAGGCTTTAAAATCCTCTACTCTTTAAGTGGGAATATTAACACTTTATGCTGTAAAGAATTTTTTATTATTTTATTTATTTTCAATTTTAATGGAAAATAAATATTTTTTTTACTGCCGCATTTTATTTGTTGATCAAAAAAAAAAGTAAAGAAAGCTTCAATAAATATTTTCTTAAGGCTTTAAAATCCTTTACTCTTTAAGTGGGAATATTAAAACTTAATGCTGTAAAGAATTTTTTATTATTTTATTTATTTTCAATTTTAATTTTGTTTAGTTACAATCGATACAACCCCCTTGAAGTTTACTTACAGTCCCATTAAGTTTTTTTTTAAGTAAACTTTTTAGCAAAAAGAAATAGTTTTTTTTACCGCCACATTTTTTTTAACAGTATAATAATCGAAATGTATAAATACTTTGCAAAAGGCATATTAAAAAGATTAGATTCGAGAATGACGAGTAAAAATAGATTCAAGGAAATATAAATATTTTTTTTCAAAATCCTCTATTTTTTGAGCGGTAGTACGTATTAACACCATTGTCACTTTAATAAGTCGTAAAAAAAATTTTGTTTTATTTTTACTTTTTAGTTATAACGAGAGTTCTATCCAGCAGCAACATCCTCCTGGAGCTAAACTGAATAAACGAGTTGGATTCCCTAGTGCAGCCCCGCCTACTCTGCCTGGGACCGGCCCGCCCCCTCGACTTCATGATGCAGGTGCCCGCCCACCAGCAGATTCAATGTTACCGCCTCCTCCTGCGTTAAGCGTTCCTCCGAGTACCCCTGGAGTGCCTCCGACATGTTCGCCTCCGACACCCCATTTAACCAAGTGAGAAATTTTTGGTTATAGGCTCCAATGTGTTCAAAGAATGGAAAACATTTTTGTAGGCAGTTGTCTGAAAGAGTTATGCGCGTTTCCCGCGTTGAATACAAGGACGAGATTAGTATTATTTTAGGGTTAGGCAAGGTTAAGACACTTTCTGGGCCGTGCGCTGCGGCTAGGACAGACATGGGGGCCGAGCGCCGCGGATTAAACAGGCTCTCTCTGTCATTTAATTCAACACGGCAAGCGCGCGTAACTCCTTTAGGCTTCTGCCTTCTGCCTATCTAATTGGTTGAGTAAAGATAACCTTAAAAAAATGGACTTATTAAAACTTCACATTTTCACAGACATATTTCATTATTTGCAGAGAACTCGAATTTTTCATTTAAATCAATCTTCTTGTTTTTCAGTGAGCAATTAAACTCTGAATTACCGTTGGAGCGCGACGAGGTTTGTGATATACTAAGGTAAAATTTATATTTTAGGAATTGCAATTTTTCTCTAAAATAGGAACAGTCCGAAACATCCGGTATATTTTTGCTTAAAAATACTAATGCCCAAATACATTAAAGCATTCTTAAATAATTAGAATTCAGGAAGATACTTTTGTGTTAGCATTTAATATATCTTTTTTTCCCTTTAGAAGCTTGGCTAATGAATACTGTGGGGCTAAATCTGGTGATATTCTTAAGGAAATTAACCTTAAAATATAGATATACTAGCCTGAGAATCCAGCGTTGCCCATGATACTCATTGCCTGCGTTCGATTTTAGCTATTTTTTATGGACCTACTTAATTTTTAATCTCGAAACCAAGATTAGAACATGGCCGTGGGTCTCCCGAATTCCTCAATGAAAATTTGAGGCAAATCGGTCAAGGGGTTCCTGAGTTAGGAAAAGAAGAGAATAAAACAGAATTAAATCATTGTGATCGTGAAAAGTTGTAGGATTTAAGAAAAAAAAGGATAGCCGAATTAGATCTTCAAGATCAGGGATTTAAGTTTGGATTATTGAATTGTAGAACTTCGAGATTAAGGTTTGGATCGTAGAGATTGGATTTATTGCAGAAGTCCTGGTCTACTGATAACTTTAACCCAAGGTAAGTAAATTTTTTTTATTTTAAACGTTTTTTTTAATTAAATTTTATTTGTTAGAGTTGGTTTGATTCTGAGTAATTTTGTCCAATCTCTGCAAAGGTAATGAAAAATTAGAAAATTATGATTAGATTAAAAAAGAAATTTATAATGAACCTTTAACTTTTTTCCTGTCGCTATTTTGTATGGAGGAATAATTTAACTCCCTTTTCCATCATCCTTGACATTCAGATGGCCATCATGTCCATTCATTTTGATTCACAAGCGATAATTGCCCCCCACCCCCACTTCTCATCTTAATGCCATGGAGCTGTTGTCCCACAAGTAATTTAATTTTCCTTATTAACCCTATCTCTGCTGGGGTACTTGAAAACCAGGATATGTTGGGGGGGGGGTCAAGTTGACCCCCCCCCCTCTAAATCCCATGTTTGATGTCAAAATATGACAAATGATACATCATTGGAAAGCTCTTGTGCTCTACTTTTAGAATCTGCAAAATAATTTGCAAATTTGCAAAAATTGAATTTTTTATCGCAAAATCCAGTTTTATTGTAAAAATGTTTGCAAAAAAATTTGTCCAAAAAATGAAAAATTATACATTTTTAAAAAACGCCCTTGACCATGCCATTTCAAATATGCAAAAATATTTGCAAAATTTTAAATAACCTGATTTTTAATCAAGAAAAACTAAAAATGTGTAAATTTCCTTTGACAGGTCGTTTGCAAAAAAGTTGCAATTTTTTTTCGCAAAACTTGTGCAACCCATTTCCTTATGTCATAGGCTTTCCAAAAAGCTGAATTTTATCAAAATCTGACTAGTGAAAGTGGGTCAAAACAAAGATTTAGTTTGTTACAGGAAAAAGCAGTCATTCAGGCAGTTGCCTAAGGACTCAGGCAGTTAGTATTAAAGCCCGGTTTTAGGCCTAAAGGGAGGGCTTTGGGTATGTAGGAAAAGTCAGAAAATTTCAACAGCCTCAGACCAATCCTTTTTGAGTTATGTAAAAAAAACTACAGGGGGGGTCAAACAGCGGGAATAGGGTTAAATCACTATTTTTTAAGTTTTCATCAATGTTCACCATTATGTTTTGGAAGCGAAAACCATCCTTTCTTACATTTAATTTTTGTCACTTCTTACCTCTGTCTATGTTATTTATTTTTCCGGCCATTTTCTTTACTAGAACCTCCATTTTGTTTTTAGTCGCCATTTTGAGGATGCGGATAAGAGTCTGACAACATTAGGAGCTGATCATTCAGGTAAAATATACTTTATTGGAGAAGGGACTGCTCAGTGCTCACGTGATTTTGACGAAAAAGTGCCCACATTGGACATCTAGATCAAGGGATCAAGGCAGGGGTGAATATTTTTCTGTTTGCCTCCCCCCGGTATAATAATATACATCCCAGGTCAAGGTTAATACAAAAGAAAAAAGGGAGAAGGGAAGGGGAAAAGAAAAATGGGAAGGGTAAAAGGGAAGACGAAGGGAAAAGGGGAAGAGGGAAGGGAAAAGGGGAAGAGGGAAGGGAAAAAAGGGGAAGAGGGAAGGGTAAAAGGGTCAAAAGGGAAGGGAAAAGGGACAAGAGAGAAGGGAAAAGGGGCAAGAGAGAAGGGAAAAGGGGGAAAGTGAAATGGGAAAGGGAAGGGAAATTACCACTTCAATAAAACAGTATCAGAAATGCTTGAATAAAAAACTCAGGGGGTGACCTTGAAGTTTACCTTGTTAGGGCACCAAAACGCTCCAATATACTTTTAAAACTCAAAATTTTCTTCGAAGTATACGCAGATTCAGAAACCTGTTTTTTAAGTTGTGGATTTAGGGAAAAATTCGATTCTGAAAAAGGTTAATACAAAAGTACATATTTCTTGTCTGTGTTCAGGGGAATGTGCAAATTGGATAACTGCTCTTCGTCACATTCTAACTTCTATTCGCGAGCAGACCATATCTCAGGTCAACGTTTTATATACAAGGGCATATGTAATAGAAGAGTTAATAGGTGCCTCTTATAAAATTTTGTTTTCTTAATTAAAATAAAAATCTATTTCTAAAAATCTATTTTTCTTCACGTTCATTATTTATTCATGTTTTGTTTAAAAAATAAAAGGGACTCGATTCTAAAAACAATGGTACGTGTACATTAACTATTCCAGGTTAGGTTCGGTTAACATAAATTGAAGGGGGAGGGGGGCTGGTGTAAATTTATGAAAAATAACCAAAAATCTCCTCACACAATTCATATTACTACTGATTATATTTGAAAGTTGAAGTTAATGATAGTATTTTCAGGACGTTGTTCCACAACCGGCTGCTACCTTGTTTTTTACGCCTGCTCAACCTATGTAAATGTAAAGTACATTACAGTACATTTCAGTACAGTACAGTTCATGTTCTCATGTTCTTCTCAAATTTGCCATTTCTTATCGTAATGCATTGTACAATGTACTACATACCAAGCGTTCTGAAGATTACTTATGTACTGTCAAACTTTTTGTATGTACACGACACGAATACTGTAATATAGAAAAAGATTACTTTAATTCGGTTCATGGCAATATAGTTTCTTGAACAATTTAAAGCACAGTAACTTTTACAATATGTAATACGATTTTAATTCATCTTAAATTATTCATTTCAAGATTTTCCTTTTTACGTTAAAATCTAATTTTTTTCTCTTCTCCATTTGTGATCTTAAACTTAAATCATAAAAAATTACTAGAAGAAACTAATATTTTTAGTATTTTATAAGGATAAATATTTTCAGAAGATAATGTTAAGCATACCATGCTGCTTCATGGATCTCATCTACATCTTAGGTTGGATACAACAATTTCAGTATATTTTGCAGTTCATAGTTTACATTTTGTTTTAAAAATGGATCCTGAGCTAGCTCATTGATATTTCTTCAAGTTTTAAGTTAGTTTCCATTCAAAGAGGGGCATGCCTGATTCACATTCCAGAATTTAAGTTATAAAAATGTTTTTTTTCATTGTTTCTAAAGCAGAAATTGTCAATTAATAGAAAACCACAATAATACATTTGAAATTACGTTTGAAATCCCTCTTCTAATAAAAATGTATTTTTTACGCTGTTTTTAATGTCCATTAAAAGATGTTCAATTTTTCAACACTTTAGATTTGGGTTTTAGCGAGCCACAAAGAATGTTTATTTAGCATTGATCTAATATTTACAAAATGTTTATCCATTCAGAGTGTGCTTTGCTTTTGGTGATGGTGTTGGGTATCTATATAAGATCCACGACAAACCCCCACCCTACGATAGTATTCTGGCCTTCGGAGGACAAGTATAAAACCAACGATGGCAAATCCTTAAAATTTGACGACATTGACGATAAACCGACAGTAGATCTATCGGTGATCGTTCCTGCTTACAATGAGGAGGATCGTCTACCAGCCATGCTGGACGAGTGCTTGGAATATCTTGAAGGACGAAAAACCAGTTATGAGGTTATTGTCGTGGACGATGGTTCTAAGGATAAGACCTCTGATATTGGGCTCAAATATACCAAACAATACGGAAGTAGTAAGGTAAGAAAAAAAAAGTTTTGAAAAGTAATTAGAAATCGAGAAAAGGATGTGTCGACATAATTTTAAGTGATTTTTGATGTAAAGCGTTACATGCCAGAGCCCAGATTCACAAACATGCCAGGGTTCAGATTCATAATTGTACCTTGCATCCTGATGGATTTTTTTGAAAATCGTAGGAAAAAGAACCGCATTTCGAGTACATTTTGAAGGTTAAAACGGAATTTTAGAGTAACATTTTATACGACGACCCCCCAATGGGCACTGTACACTTACTGTTAACACTGTTTAGTACAAAATATCGTTTAGTAGGTGAAAAAGCTATTAATAACTTTGGAAATGGGNGACTTCTTGGAGTACTTCTTAATACAATACAACGATTTTTAGTAGGCTAAACCTGTAGACACTCATTTATAAAATTACGTTTACAGACCCTTGAAAATAGAAAAGATAGAAAATTCAACAAAATGGATGATACGAAATTTCTAAATAAATTTTTACCTCCCAAAATTGGCTGAAGAAGTTTTTAAAACATGGCTGTTCTGATTCTTGGATTATTTTTTACCAACCTTGACCAACCTTGAATTTTTTATTTTCTGGTTGATTGATTGATTTAAGGAAATTATAAGATTGGATTGCTCGATTGATTGAATGATTTTAAAACATGGCTGTTCTGATTCTTGGATTATTTTTTACCAATATGACCAACCTTGAATTTTTTATTTTCTGCTTGATTGATTGATTTAAGGAAATTATAAGATTGGATTGCTCGAATGATTGATTGATTTTAAAGGTTCGTGTTATGACCCTTACTAGGAATAGAGGGAAAGGTGGAGCAGTAAGGATGGGAATGTTAAGAGCAAGGTAAAATGTTCAGTCAAAATGTGCAAACAAGTTTTTAGAAATAAAGTCTATGAACCAGGGGTGTATATTTTTTAGAATTACCCCCCATCTAATGATTTTTGATGATTTGAGGGAAATAATTTAAAAATGAGACATAACAAGTCAAGTTTTTTCATTGTTTTTAAAACTTTTTACCCAAAAAATTCTTTTATTTTCCACTCAAAATTATTTTACTTATCATTTTTACTTTTGAGAGTTCTTTTGCCCTAGGCTTCGTACTTAATGAATATTTATATTTATGATTTAAGAACATTGCTCCTCATCTTAAAAATTTGGATATTTGAGTATTCTGAAATAGGTGAACATTCCCTTTAATAGCGAAACTACCTTCATAATGGCCATCACATGATGCGTTATTATTTTATTGTTTGATGATGTTATATTTTTCATAAATAATTTATTCTCATCATTATATTTTGGATTCCAGGCCGCAAGCTGCTTGTAGATGCACTACACCCTGTGGGCGGTCTGGGGGTTCCATGTCGGGTTCCCTTTAAGAAATTTATTATTATTATCTTTCCAATAAAACAAGACGTTTGTATACATGTTCCTTATAGCCGGCCAAACTGCTAGACCGAATGGGCTGACATTTTTTTGTGGACACTCATGGGTAGCCTTGCCTTTCTAAATTTTTTTTATTTCTGAGTAGACCCTTTTATTGTAGAGGAGCTCAGTTACTGTTTGCTGATGCTGATGGAGCCACAACATTCTCAGAACTATCTAAGGTAATGCCGTACAAGATGTTGTGGATAATTTAGGGATACCCTACATTTTCTGTAAAATCTCCCCCCTCCCTTTTCTAGAGGAAAAATCATTTTTTGAAGTAAAAAGTTCGTTTTTTTCTCCAACAAATTTGAAAATCGTCGAAATGTGTGGGTGGGGTAGGGGCTTGTGTTCAACAAGCAGACCTTCATATGACTCATTAGAACACTCATAGCAATGTTTTAAAGAAAAGTATAAACGGGCAACAGGGTATAAGAATGAAATCTAGAAATTTTCGAAGATTTTTTATTTAATAGTGTTGATGACGATCCAAACATTTTGGTCTTGGTTGACACTTGACCTCTTCAGATTGTTGAGATCTTTTTCTGTCTTGCAGATTTTTTCTTGTTTAGCTTGAAGCTGAGTTGGATAAACTCGGAGGAAAGCATGGTATAGTGTGTGGGTCTAGGGCTCACATGCAGGATGAAAGCATAGCTTCGAGAACATTCTTCAGGTAGTTTATTTAAATTCAGGACATAAACAGGATAAAATCACGGGGGAATACATTTTGTAATAAGCGTCCAACAATTTGTTGTACCCTTTACAAGAAGTGAAAAATTTTTAAATAATGATTTTTTTTTTGGGGGGGGGGGACAAATGGGCAAATGGGACAGTTACATGATAAGAATTTTTTTCCGGTTTAAATTCAGATAACAAACCAAATTTCTCAGTTAAAAAAAAGTTTCTAAGAAATGAAGGCAGTCCTTATCTATCCTTTTTAATAAAATTTTAAGTAAAATTAAAAATCTGTAAGATGTTTTTCCTAGAAATTTGGGAATTCCCCAGTTTTTTTTTATTTCCTGAACCTTGTTGATACGAATATTATTCTGTTTACATTTTTTTTTTCAGATATATTAAACTTCAAGATAATAAACAACAAATTTCTTAGCTTTGTTAACTTAACTTTGTTAGTTTCAATTAAAGATTTGAAAAAAAATTTTGTTTGGAATTTGTTTTCTTGACATTCTAAAATTGGTCGTTTTTCTGATTTTAATTTTTGATAATATTTGATGAATATCAAATTTTGAAATTTTAGAACAGTGTTGATGTATGGATTCCATTTTTGTGTCTGGATCTTTGCCGTGAAAAGCATCAGGGACACACAGTGTGGATTTAAGGTAAGTTTTTTTATTCTTTCAAATTAAACTTTTTCTTAATTAAAAGGTATTGTCCATAAAGGAGATTCATGCCTTATTAACAATTGTACTCTTTAAATAGTTAACTAAGCAAAGGTTATCACTGACTGTCTGTAAATTGATTATTTTCATTGCAATGGTGGTTTCTTTTCTCGTCAAAACTGACTTTTTTGATACGAAATGATCAGAGCTGAGAACTTTAGAATGAAATACCTGTAATCCAGACTGCTTAATCCGAATATCCAATGTGGACAATTTTAATTTCTTGCTTAATCCACTCTTTTTTGATATAGTACAGAAAAATCAAAAACCGTTTTTTAGTGAGACCCTTCCGTTTCTGTATAGTAATCATAAATGGCACGCAAAATTTCAAATTTCCCGGCTTCTGAAACGCGACTCGGATTTGTTTAATTTTATACACTTCAGGATAAAAGTACAAAATTAGGTTGGTTTCGAGATTAAGAAAAAGAGAGGATCAAGCATTGATTTCGACATCCACCATTTTGAAGTTCCCAGCTCTGTGTTAACTATTTTTAGATAAGCAACGTTATCTTCCCCGTTGTTGATCAGATTGAGGGTTCAAGAATACCTTTGTGAATCGGACACTCACCTATTTTTTAAATGGAGGGTCACTTGAAATTACAAGGACAGTGTCTTTAACTTCTTCAAGTTTAGCTGTTGACGAGGGATACAGGGAGAATAGTTTTCAAGTCTCTTCATATTGAAAGATGGGCTTTTGATGTAGAAATGCTCAAGGTAATAATTAGTTTAAAATCAAATTTCAATTTTACCTTCTTTCCCAATCCCATTCCCTAGTCCCCACTCCATCCAGCACCGCCTTTCCATACACTAATGGCGAAGAGGTCACAATTTACTGTTATCGAAGGATGAGACTTCAGAGACGACTGTATGAAGTTCCTTCTGTCGTTTTCCTTATAATTATAATTCCCTGCAACTGCAAACTATTTTCTCTCATTAGATAAGCCATTTAAAGACTACAGCGTCATATTTTAAGAGTTTTATGTAGTCTTTACAGTCTCATCCTTTGTGGGTAACCCTGTATTAAACCCGTTAATGGTCGGGGTCACCAAAAACCTTGGAGGCAAGGGGGAGGGGCTGTCTTAATACTTCAACCTACCTTTTTTTTTGCTAGATAGCAGAAATGTTGAGTATACCTACAAGAGAGGTGGCGGTTAGATGGACTGAGATAGATGGTTCCAAACTCAACCCTATCTTAGCTGCAGTACAGATGTTCAAGTAATAAATGATTTACCCATTTAAATATAAACATAATAATATCCCAATTTTTTTCGAGTTAAGCTCAACTATGTTTTCGAGGTTACGAGTGAATAATAATCATCTTTTCTGTGAATAAAAACCCGTTTTGTTTTTGCCAGAAACTTTTTTTATACATTTTATAGGCTTAAAAGTATTACAGAAAGTACGAAATATACAGCAAAAATAGTTACATTCGTAAGGAATAGTTGCGTTGCTAGTTCTAAAGATTTGGGTATATGTTTTATATTAAATTATTATTTTTATTAAATGAAACTGGAAATTCTATCTTTTGAAACTTTCGGAAACTTTTAAGTGTCTATGATGAGGTATTTTCATGTACCATGTTAATGATTTTTAATGAATTTTTAGGGACATTTTCTTTCTCTGGTGCAAATATGCACTGGGCGCATGGAAACTTAATGTGTCGAGCTTAGAAAACTTCAAGCTAGACTAGAACTTCAAGCTAGAGAACTTCAAGCTAGACTAGAACTTTAAGCTAAAGAACTTCAAGTTAGACTAGAACTTTAAGCTAGAGAACTTCAAACTAAAGAACTTCAAGCTAGAGAACTTCAAGCTAGAGAACTTCAAGCTAGAGAACTTCAAGCTAGAGAACTTCAAGGCTAGAGAACTTCAAGCAAGAGAACTTCAAGCCAGAGATCTTCAAGCTAGAGAACTTCAAGCTAGAGAACTTCAAGCTAGAGAACTTCTAGCCAGAGAACTTCAAGGCTAGAGAACTTCAAGCCACAGAAAATTTCAAGCTAAAGAACTTCAAGGCTAGAGAACTTCAAGCTAGAGAACTTCAAGCTAGAGAACTTCAAGCTAGAGAACTTCAAGCTAGAAAATTTCAAGCTAGAAAACTAAGTTCAAGAACTTAAGTAATAGAACTTCGAGCTAGAGAACTTCAAGCTAGAGAATTTCAAGCTAGAGAATTTCAAGCTAGAGAATTTCAAGCTAGAGAGTTTCAAGCTAGAGAATTTAAAGCTAGAGAATTTCAAGCTGGAGAACTTCAAGCTAGGGCACTTCGAGCTAGGGCACTTCAAGCTAGAGCACTTCAAGCTAGAGAACTTCAAGCTGGAAACTTCAAGCTAGAGAACTTTAAGCTAGAAATCTTTAAAAAAAATAATTTTGTATTATTTCAGGGATTTATTTATTTTTACCTAAAATTATCTTCCCCCACCCCCCCTTCCTCCGCCCAGAAAAAAATTGAATATATTTTTTTGCCTCAGGTCACCCCACAAAACGTCTAATATATTTTGTTTTTCGGTGGGGATCCATCTGTTTGTTTAATGTTTGTGTTTATCCCTGTTAACGTTTTTTTGTGTGTACAAAGTATGTATATTGTTTTTTCATGTACAGACTACAGATATGCCGTCTGTAAATACCAATTTCTGTGATAAACAAATTGAAACCATTTTGAATGGCATCTGAGATAAAGCATTTTCAACAATTCAATTTAAAAAAGATTTTTTTTTGAGTATTTATTTTTGAAAAGAAATAAATAGTTTTGATAAGTTAGTCTGAAACAGTGGCAACAATCTTTAGGAATATGTAGTTTTTATGTTAAAAAAATATTTTTTGCAAATCTTTTCAAACGCACTGTTTTCATTAACTTCAATTTTTTCAGATTAGATTAACGTTTTTACATCACCTGTCTTCTTCTGATAAACGGGATTAATATTCACCTTGTTCCTGTATTTTTTGTTTTTTCTATTTCCGCACAAAAGTATTTATATTTTCAGATGCAAATACTGAATTTATAACCTGACAATGCCGGGAAATGAGGTAATTAAATATAAATTTTTTTTTTAAATATTTAGAATTGTATTAGAAATGAAAAAAAATTACTTCAAAATAAAATAAAAATATTTGTTAAAAAAATATACTTTTCAAAAACTAGCTGAAGACCCTTTAAAGATCAAAATTCAATCTTAAAAACCATTTAAAGAATCAAATCTAAAATGTCCAATTATAAAAATTTATAAATTCACCAAAATCTTAACTATTGAACCAAGTCAAATTAAAAAGTCAGATTGTAATTTAAACACTATCAAAAAAAAATTTACATAAAATCATTTTTTTTTTTATTTATCAAATTAATCATAGTGATCATACAAAATCAACAAAATCGTTTTATATTAGGATGATTTTAGATCTTAAGTTAGTGATCGACGATTGATTCATAAATTACAAAATCAATTATAAAAAATTCATCAAAATTCCCATTTTAAAATCAATCAACTGAAATTATCGAACCTTATCTGAAAATAAAATCATGAATTTTCATTCAAAATTTCCATTTGAACAAAAGTTACAAAATTTTTACATGGAAGGTCACTTGAAATTTAGAGTCCCTCTAAAATGGAAAAAACGAATCATAAAGTGACATAATAAATGATTAATGAAATTATATTTGTCCTCAGGTTGAGGTGCTGGGGGATGGAACAGGTCAAACAGACAGCCTAGGCAGCAAATCAGATAATTCAGGTACTAAATTCATATCAAGAAGTAGTTGAACTACATATACAAAGTTAAACCACTTCTCTTCAACTTGAACCGTCGTAGAAGATAAGCGGTTCAACTACTTCTACGTGGATTAACTTTTATTAAATCTGATTCCAGGGTCGGAACTATTGAACTAGTTACTGCTTGATCCGCTTGTGTCGCTAAAATAATAGTCTTAACTCAGGCCGCCTAGTCGTCACTTCAGTAATTAGCAACCAACCATACTTGATTGATTAACAATGAGACGAGTTCTTATTTGGTAAATACTATGAAGTATGCTATACAAGTTCATGATGTACATTGATCGAAAATTCAGTTTATCTTAACTTCGTATCTATCATACGAACATTTACATTTTGTAAAACCCCAGAACTTCATAGGTATGATAATTGTAATGAATTTATTTGGAAATGCTCGAATCTTGTTATTTTATTCAGATTTGTATTAAACTTTTCACTATGAAAACGCCACAAGCAAAGAGATAAAATAATTCAACTGTTCCTCATATACCTTTTGTGGCAGACAATGGATAATAATACGAAACAATACCATTACTGTTCCTTGAAAAGATTTTAGAAGAGCTGATGATGAAGGGAGGGGAAGGCGAGCCGCACCAGTATAGCCTCCATTCCGCAATAGACTCACAAACATAGAGTCGGGGCACTCAATTACGGGATGAGGGCAATAATGATGCGGCTTGCATCTCTCCCCCTCTGATGATCCTTAACACTGAAAACTTTTGTTTCAGGAAAAACTACCGTGACCAACTTGTATCCTAAACCTAAACTAGATATTGTTTGTGTGGTGGACCTACATCAGGCCCAGGTACAGACTTGTATCCTAAACCTAAACTTGATATTGTTTGTGTGGTGGACCTACATCAGGCCCAGGTACAGGCTTATATCCTAAACCTAAACTTGATATTGTTTGTGTGGTGGACCTACATCAGGCCCAGGTACAGGCTTATATCCTAAACCTAAACTAGATATTGTTTGTGTGGTGGACCTTCATCAGGCCCAGGTAAAGACTTGTATCCTAAACCTAAACTAGACATTGACTGTATTGTGGACCTTCATCAGGCCCAGGTACAGACTTGGAATTTTTATCTAAAAGGGACTGTAACGAAATTCCAAGTAATCCTCCATTTATTCAGTGGGATATCTTTTGTCCAATTCATAATGGTGCTTTTTAAACCTTTATCTGAGGAACAATCAGGTAGATCATAGCTGACAACTTTAGAATGGAATATCCTTGATCCTGATCGGTAAATTAATCTGGAGATTAATAACAAGAGGAGAACAAGCATTCTTTAATCTGTAGATTAAGAAAAAGAGTAGATCAAGCATTACTCCCGATATTCACCATTCAAAAGTTCCAAGCTCTTTTCGTTTTTCTTACTTAAAAAGTCTTGTTTTCTGACAATAAATGTCTTTAATTGCTTCTGCAGCGTAATCTGCATATAACTTTTACTGAGAAAGTACAATTGAAAAATATTAAATTTCAGATAGAAAAATAAGGATATCATGGATATAAGAAAAAAGTATAAATTGTATCGTTATGAATCGGGGTATGTCACTGACCACTTGAAATAATGTCTACCGTCACGAAACACACACATATTTAAATTGTTTCTAATCTTGAATCTATTCCAGCATCAAAGTACGCGGAAGCGCGCCTACGAAGATGTCAAGTTTGCGTGCGGTGCTATCGCCTACGCTACTGTTCATCATATACAGTTTGAGAAACTTGACTTCGGAGAGACAAATGTTCTAGATTTATTCTATAATGCAGACGTTGCCATCATAGACTTGAGTATTCAGGTATCTTGACATTTTTATCTCTATATCATCAAGCAGCACATATTTATAGACGAAATGTCTTCTTGTCAGATACTAAGTCTCAATTGATTTCAGAATTGTTATATTGCTAAATTTTGAACTGTCCTAATAGAGAGTAAAATGCGAGGCTCATTTTAATGCCTACATCATACTTAGATTTAATTTTTTATTGTATTTTTTTAACGCAATAAAAGTTTTAAAGAGTGAGGTTAAGTAGCACTCTCTGTTTGTCCGACCGATCATAACTCTGGAACACCTTAATCGATTTGCCACAAATTTTGATTGGGGAAAATGTGGAGAACCATGGGAATGTTCTTAGCTTAGTGTAAAAGGTCTTAGTTAAAAAAGTTGACTCATGAACTTCCTTTTTGTCTCAATTTTAATTGTGGAACTCGGTAGAACCACAGGAATGTTCCTTGCTTTCAAAATTTGAGTTAAATTGGTCAAGGGATTCCCGAGTTATGGTCCGCGAAATACGATACAAAAATATGAAAATGGCAGCTTGAAGAGTAACGTGTCAACAACTAAACCGTGAAGCGTCCTGGAAGCTTTAAAAAATGGCATATTTTAAACTTCATGATGATTGACCATTTATTTATTTATTTATTTATATATTTAGCTCCAGCAGAGTGCTCTATTCTATCATCTTGGAGTTCGAGAGAGCTTCGGGATGCGGCAGAATATACTTTTATATCAGGTACAGGGGAACTAATCAGTGGTGGACACAGAAATTTATCCAGGGGGCTATTTTTCCAGGGGGGGGGGCGGTGGCTCAGCACCCCTTTGGTTCTGATCCCCCTGGAAACCAAAGCTTTTACTAATCCAAAGGCTGAGCCCTAGCCTATATCAAACTTTTGTTACAAAAAAAAGTAGTCGCCAATGGCAGGGACACTTCATTTTTTCTTCCTCTGTAATCTGCATGATGTATTCTAACAAAACATTCTTACATCCGAACTCTTTAATATTATTTATTCCTAACCTTTTATGATTTGTTAGGACGTGGATAAGGACGCAACCCTGACCCTGAAGTTGTCCTGTGTTAACTACAGTTTTGTATCCTATCATCAGAATGGGGATAAGGGGACACTAGTCATTACAGATCCATCAGCAGTTATAGGTCAAGTAATCTTTAATATCTGCAATTTTTTGGTAGGGTGGNATCCTTTTACTTTCACGTTTCCTCTCGCCAAAAAAGATAATTTTTAAATTGTAGGTTCTCTATGAACTGATTTGCGAATTAGAGACAAAGAATGAAGCTTATAAAAAGTTCTTTATCTTTCTCATTGTTACTTATTTAAAGGTTACCGTTAACTTTATAATTTGAGGGACACTTCATTGATTTATTTGGAAAAATAAAGTTTTTGCTCAATATTTCAGACGGCTTAAAAATCATTTCCATGTGAAATGGGTTGGGGGAGGGGGGGGGGGGATTTTTGAAAAGTTTAGACCTATACATTACAGATTGACTCACCCTGTATATGTTTATTGTTTAGGAGATTCTCAGCGAATATCTCTAGTATCTAAACTAAAACATCTTATCAAAGATTTAGAAGTTCAATCAAAGGTTCACATGAAGGAGAAGTTCCTAGCTGATCTTAGGTGATCTAGTTGATCGATTGATTGGTTGATTTAGGGTTGATTATTTCAAGGATTAATTGATTTGAGTGGAATGTTTCAAGAATTGATTGATTTTTCATTTCACTAAGTACAAAACTGAAATACAACTTTTGCTCTGCTGATTTAAGTGTGAGCTCTCAAATTTTAAAAGTATATTTTCAAAATATGCATTCCTTTCTTCTACTAAGTATGAGATGTGTAATAAGGATATTTATTGAAGATTTAAAAACATTTTGATAAGGTACTTTACTAAATTAATTGTTGTTTCATTGATATCAAGCTAATGCACTTTACCCCACAAATCACAAAATCCAAATATTGATTGATTGATTGATTTGATTTTTGACTGGTTTATTATCTGATTATTTCTTTGATTGATAAATTGATTGATTGATTGATTTAGAAAATGTCGAGAGCAAAATACAGGAGCAGAACTGCAGAAAGCTTTAAGGAACATGAAGAGGAGGCTAGACGATCCTAACGTGCTGAGCGGGGATGTTGTTCACAGTATGCTCATATCCTTCAGGTAACTCCCAAATACGGAGCCGCAAACTGTAAGATTATTTATCAAAGAAACATAGTCTCGCAAACAAGATTGATTAATGAAACCTGGTTTTGTAACCACGGTTTTGCACAGTATGCTCATATCCTTCAGGTAAGCATCTTAACTCGGAGCTCGAAACTTTTAACCATATTTACTAATGAAACATGGTTTTGCAAACTCGAAGCTCGAAACTTGTAATATTGTTCATTAATAAAACATGGTTTTACATTTTACGAACACGGTTTAGCACAGTATGCTTATTTCCTTCAGGTAAGCATCAAACTAGGAGCTCTAAACTTCAAACAGTGTCCATTAATCATTAATGAAACATGGTTTCACAAACACGGTTTTGCACAGAATGCTTTTTTTTTCTTCAGGTAAGCATCAAACTAGGAGCTCGAAACTTTAAACATTGTACATAAACCATTAATGAAACATGGTTTTGCCAGTATGCTTATTTTCTTCATGTAAGCATCAAAGTCGCAGCTCGAAACTTTAAACATTGTCCATTAATGAAACATGGTTTCACAAACACGGTTTTGCACAATGTTTTAATATTCTTCAGGTAAGCATCAAACTTGGAGCCTAAAACTAACAACAAATGCGAGTCCCGACTAAAACCCAACGTTTATTAAAGACTTGAAACTCCGTCCAGAAATTTGTAAGCTATACAGGGGCGTAGTCAGAAATTTTTCCAGAGGGGGGGCTAAAATATTTTTTTTCTTTCCGGGGGGGG